GGAGTTGCCCTGGCTGGGTGGCTCAGTTGGTTGGAGTGTTGTCCTGGTACACCAAAAGGCTGGCGGTTCAATTTCTGGTCTGGGCACATACCTAGGTTATGGGTTTGATGGCCCCCCTTCCAGTCGGGGCATCTATGGGATGCAACCGATCGATGTATCTCTCTCATCAATGTTTCTCTCTCTCTCTCTCTCTCTCTCTCTCTCTCTCTCTCTCTCTCTCTCATATCAGTAAAGTAAAACAAACATATCCTTGGGTGAGGATTAAAAAAAAGGTGTTGATAATGTATTTTCCTTATGGACTGTTGAGAGGACTACATGAAATAATGCACATAAGTGGCATAGCTGATCGTTGTCTTTCTTTCCCACAGTTTGCATTCTGAAATTAGAACAGGCTTTACTGTGATTTCCTGCAGTGATTTCGTTTTGCTCTCGGATCACTGTTGAGAGCAGGAAACGGAGTGTTTTATAGGCGCGAAGGGGGAGTCACTGTGCTCTGTCTAAGCTCATCCTGGGACTTGTCGGTACTGCTGGTCCTAAAGGAAGAAGGAAGGAGGGAAATACCATCTGAACTTGGGATGGTGAAGGTAGGGGTGCTCTTAATGTCACAGATGCTGCGGGCAGTAGAGCGGCGATAGATGGTGATGGAAGGAGACTTGAGCTGGGTGGTGAACACACAATACAATATACAGATGATGGATTGTAGAATTGCACACCTGAAACCTATATAATGTTAGTAACCGATGCCAGCCAATAAATTCAATAAGAAAAAAAGATGCTATAGGCATCTTCGCTGAGCAAGAAATAACTTCCAGAAAGGAGAAGTTGGCAGTCATGTAGAACTACACGCCCTCGGACCAGCAAATGACACCCCCATGGAGGGTGTGGCAAAGAGTGCAGTAGGTTCTGGAAACATTTAGTTTCTGCTCCTGGCTCTGCCACTGACTGCTGTGCGCGTTTGTCCAAGTGTAACCTCTCTGAGCCTCTGCTTCCTTCTACCAGTGGGCTCTTCCCACACGCCCCCATCCTGTGGTCTGAGGGTCAGGTGGCTTAATGCCTGAGCAGACTTGCCACTGGATCAGAGGCCAGTGGGTGGAAGCTGCCCCTCTGTTGCCCAGGCACACCTCTCCCCTCTGTTCCCCAGGCACACTTCTCCCCTCTGTCCTCCAGGCACACCTCTCCCCTCTGTTCCCCAGGCACACTTCTCCCCTCTGTTCCCCAGGCGCACCTCTCCCCTCTGTTCCCCAGGCACACTTCTCCCCCCGCACCTCCTTGCTACGGGCTGCTGAGGATTGCTTTCTCATTCATTCTTCCCTTCAACTCTCCCCCTCCTGCCCACTCTTCAAAGTCTGTGGCGACCTCTCCCCTCTGTCCCCCAGGCGCACCTCTCCCCTCTGTCCTCCAGGCGCACCTCTCCCCTCTGTTCCCCAGGCGCACCTCTCCCCTCGCACCTCCTTGCTACGGGCTGCTGAGGATTGCTTTCTCATTCATTCTTCCCTTCAACTCTCCCCCTCCTGCCCACTCTTCAAAGTCTGTCTCTAATGTTATCTCCTCCTCTAACCTTTTCACCATCCTCCCCATTCTGGGTGAGTGTTGCCCGCCTCTTAGAGATTTTTCAAATTCTGTCTTACAGTAGTGCTTTTCCTGTGCTGTTCAGCGCACCCCAGAAAATTGCTAACCTTTGAGGGCAGGCGTGTGCCTTACTTTTGCAAACCCTGTATTCCAGCACAGTGGCATAGCGAAGAGTGTGAAATCACGGTCAGGCTTCTGCTGAGCACCTGCTCTTCCTCAGACAGCACAGTGGTGAGCTAAACAGCCTGTGTCTTCACTTTCTGCCCCCGCCCCCCACGCCCCGGAGAGACCCCGCCAAGCAGAGGAATGCCCATGCGCTTCAGGTTGAGTGAGATTTCCCCTCGCACATCAGCTGGTGGGTGGAGATGAACAGCTGTCTTCTGGATGG